TCTGCAGCCTCTCAGACACAGAGATAGGAACACCAAGAGGGTGGTAAGGAGGTGCAGGGCCTGAGTGTGTAAACAGAGAGGTTCTAGGGTCCTTAGGGTTTATGTTGATGCTTCCTGTCTGACATAACTCTCTCCACTTGCTCAGTAGTTCTCTGCGTATATCAGGTGCAAAGGGGCCTAAATAAGCCATGACTGCAGCCAGGAGAAGTGAATCTCCTGGTAAGTTTTGGTTAAATAGCTCTGCCTCCTGAAAAGAAAACAGAAAAATATATACAGTATAGAAATGAGATAAAATAGTGAAAATCATAAGTATTTATACAAAAAACATTAAAGAATAACACTATCAAGTGAAATATTTAAGCTACATGAACAGTACATTTGCAAATTCTGCATTACCTGACCAGCAGCCTTCCAGTCTCTGGCAAGTGTCTCCAACTGGACATCACCTGTAGTAGCGTTTCCTTCCATGATCCCAAATTTGTGCAGCTCCAAATTTTGCTCCTCTAGGTCCTTCTGTACAAACTGCAGCTGAAGTTTAATGTCCTCTAGATGATGGCATGCATCCTCCTTGCGCTGCTTGGCCAGGTGTAGCTGATCTCGCACCTCTTCAGCCAGCACCACCAATTTCTGCTCGACCACGAGCTGGTGGTGAATCCTGCAGCATTCATATGTAGCCTGGACCCATCGACACAAGGACTCACAGGCCTTGCTCACTTCTCGCACAGACTCTGGCACAAACTGAGGACTGTTAACTATCTGGGCGAGCTTCTGCAGCTGTTTGCTTGTCAGAGTGTAGCGGTCAAAAAATTTGAGCTCCTGGGAACAGGAGATAATATAGCAGAATTAAAATCACAGAACAGCCATTTAATTTACAAAAGATTCAAAACTATAATGCTAAAGCAATTGCCTTTTATTCCATGCAGTGTTACATTATTATTTTTAATGTACTGACAGGTGCAAACTTTGTTCCAAAAATATGTATTTTTCCACACACCTGGACAAAGTTGGGCTGTCCAAGAAACTTTTTAGCGTTCTCCCAGCCTGTTGGACTATTAAACATCAAACAAATAGCATCCATGATTTTTACCACTCCATCAGGTGGATCTCTGTAGTGGCGCACCTCCTCCAGGTCAGATGGATTCAGACACTCAAGGACCTTGAGGCCTGCCAAGAACATAGATCTCACCTGGAAAAAATTTTAAATTCATATTCATTTTCTGTGACATTTCCATGAAATGTTATAAATCATTCCAAGAGACTTCACCACCCACTATCTACAATAAACAACCTAAGGTGGTATAATAAAAAGCATACTAGCTGAATTATTTACTAGCTCACAAATGTGTTGGGTTTTCTTCAAAGTATATATTTATAGGATTTTGGATGTAGATATGAATAAAATGAGAAATCTGATTACCAGTTTCTGAGCCTGACTGATGTGCCCTTCCAGGTGATACAGCTTGTTCTCCTTTACAACACATTCCTCCTGGATTTCCTCAAGCAGGCTTTTCTGGTCATCTACAGCTCTGAGGAGCTCTTTCTCACGCTGCAGGGCAAAGAGGAAGGGAACACTGCATTAATCCAGATATCAAAATGTGTAGTTTTCACAATAAAGTTCTCTGTTAAGGTAATTATTGCATATTATAATTGCAATATTAGCTGAGGTACGTATAGTACATAGTATCTTTTTTAAAAATTAGATGCAAAAAATGTTACTGTGTTTGTCACTTTGAAATAAATAAAAAATAGTAGCATAGATTTTAGCATACATAGGCCTTTGAACAGCACTGCATATACTGCTTACTAGGTTGGTTGAATCATTTTTGACTGTGATGACAAATGACTTTCTGGTAGTATAGAAACTGTGTCAACACTGCTGCAACCTCATTCACAATACTGATCCCACTTTAACTGCATGTACAGCACTGTATGCTGAATTGCTCTACAATACCTGTTGTGTTTCGGCAAACTTCTCCTGCAGTCTTTTTATGTGCTGCACAGCTGTGGCATTCATGACATCTAACTGGTCCAGAACAGAGGTAACTCTGAAAAAATACAGTAAAGGTTATTGTAAACCAGCAGATTGTTAAGACCTGCACAGTCTGATGCAACAAAGATTCACTTTGTGAAGCTTACAATGTTTGATTTTCATTGCAACCGTGTAAAGATATTGTTCAGGTTTTAGTTTATAGTATAGCTGTGCTGGTCTGCATGATAATTTACAGTGTACCTGATATTGTTACTCACAGGAACAGTGAGGAACAATTTTATCAGATAAAGCTAGGTCACAGTAGTATGCATGTATTAGTATATGCACTGCATCAGAATAAGTACCGGTGACAAAGAAAGAAATGAAGGAAAAAATTCTATTCAACTACCAGTTTAAGACAAAATACCTGTAGGCTTGGCCCTGCCATTGTTTGCGGAGGTCGTTGTAGATGTAACCAAAGTGGGCAATGAACTCCATATAAGTCTGAGGGCTGAAAGGCTGGGCTCTTAGAAGGATAGAAGCATACTGACATGCAGATTGATGGATACCTGCCATAGCCACAGACAGACTGGCTTCTAAGCCTTCTCTCTCCTCTAAATAAAAAAGATAAGCAAAATGATATGTCTTGGAAGAAATAACACTGCATGGTGTAAAAATTAACTGGGCATAGACTAACTTTGGTGTTCTGACTCACTTTTGTATGGACTGCTTTTGAGGCATTTGAGAGCAACTTCCTCTAAAGACTGGCTGGACCATGGCTGGTACACCTCAACACAGCAACTGTAGTTTAGGGCCTTCATCATTTGTTCCTGGATCATAAAAGGTAAAAAGTCATTTGCTAAGGCACAAAGCTTCGGTCACATGTACTGTACAGTCATTCAAAGAAAATACATACATTACAACTATGGGATCCATTGTTTGTAGGTATCTCACTGGTGTCTGACATGGACATCAACAGGAACACATGGACATTTCTATGGATGTGGCTCAAGAACCTTTGTTAAGACAAACAGACCAATTATGATTTACAGTGTACAAACATTATCTTTACAACTATTTACTGTAAGCAATTAAAAAAAAATTCTATAAGCCCATTGGTGTGATTTTACGTCACCATTATCATCATAGAGTACCTACAATACTACTACAGAATGAATGAATGTAATTACTGATAAATGTACACATCACAAGTATATTAGCATTACATACAAGTCCGGATGTTGCAAAATTATAAATGCAGACTGATTACACTAAATCTATTTCTACTGTAGGTCTAATCCTTCAATAAAACAATCTGATGAGGTTGAGCACTGACAACTATACGTTCTAGCATTAGGAGTAATAGATCAATTAGGCTGTTTTGCTTACTTCTTAAATCTGAAACTGTCCACAAGGCATCTTCTTGAGGTTTTCACAGCAGTAACCCTAGACATAAGGTTCTTCAGCTCCTCCTCTGTGTAGACAGCTGGGTAGGTTCTGTGAGCCATTGCCACCAATAGTTCATCTCTAACAGACTGATTAATATCTTGATGGACCAGTATGATAACATTACCTCCATCTGTTCTAGTTCGATTCCCAGCCTCTTTTAGGATTTCATGCAACTTGTTCTCATTACTAGAATGTACCTCCATCAGGTGGTAGCCAGTTAGGTAGGCAGCTAAACGCACAGTGGCCTTACGACCTGTGCCTTTGGCTGCACCAATCAGTACTCCATGACCTCCAGGTATGAGCAAAGCCCTGAGGATATGTAACAGCTGCCTCATTCTCTGTCTGTGTACAATGTATCTTGATGTAATGTTGTAGTAATTATTAACTTCATGTCTTGCATCATCTTCTGTTCTGTCCATGAGAGCAGAGAGTTTTTGAAGCAGTGTATCAAAGTCTTGCTCCTTGTAGTAAGAGCTAAATTTGAAAATGCCCTGATGATCCACCGAATTCAAAAGTTCAGGACCAAATACAAGTCGGACCATTATGTCCTCCATATGCTGAAGTGCCTGGTGCTGCAGTGTGAGCGTTTTTAGGCTTGCCTCTTCTGATCGACTATTTTCCAACAGAGAGGAAGGTTCAGTCAATGTATATTCTTGGCTCTGGTCTGACTGGCCAAATGGTTTTGGCTCTTGTGAAAGACTTTTTGTATCTGGACTCTGACCAATTTGCTTAGAGGTTCCTGCCGCATCCATGGGAAGTGTTTGAATAGCAAGGCTTGTGACAGCAGGTGTAGCGTCTGCACTGTCAGAGTGAGGCTCATTAACCAATTTAGTTCCATAGTATGTTGTTGCTGCATTGGCTATGAGTGACACAAGAGTTTTGCTTTCACCCTCTGAGCATAATCTGTCACTGAAAGTACGCATGCATTCATGCATCCAAAGATGTACTATGTAAAGAACCAATGCTGCAGGCACTGGCAGAGCTGGAGGATACCCTGGAAGTGCATAGTCATTTTCCTGCATTGCCCCTGTGTTTGGCATGTTAGGCTGCCACAGGTACATCCCCTGAAAGACCTTCTGTAGGTCACAGTGGGAGAACATATAATGGGGCCTCTGCATGGTAGGCTGGAATTGTTCACACACTGCATGATACAGATTTTTGGTTGCAGTGACAATACAACATGCCATATCTTCAGCACTCTGCTTAAATGGCATTTCTTTGAGCCAGATTTGTAGCCTAGGAGAATGAATAGACAACACCACATCCACAGATAGGCTAGGGAGCACAAAGATGGAGAACAGGCGTGAGAGGCGGGAGGATATCACATTACTGTCATGACTGCCTAATCCAGAAAGACAATAGGTAGCCAAGTAGCCGATGGTTCCAGAACTCAATAACTTGAGGCAGTAGGTATTAAATGTTAGAATCTCTCCCTTTGAAATACTCTGTCGTAGCAACTCTAGAGCCGTAGACGCCTTCCCAAAGACATCTATCAACAGGAAAGGCAGAAATATTTATCATATAAAATTTCAGAAATCTCAAAATCTGTTTCAGTTGTACAGTAATAATATGAACTCCAGAGAGGTAAATTTTCTTACTCACCACAGGGGGCTTCGTGCAAATCATCCACAAACAGGAGCAGTCTCTGTTGTTTGGCTGGAGCACCCACAGTATCTTTACAGTACCTCTGGCAGCTGATGTTATTTAGTACAGCACACAGATCTTTGGAACTTAGGAGTGGACTAGCTGCTAGGCTAATGTGCCTCTCTCTCCACTTGTCAAAACTCAGCAAAGCTTGGCACAGGCTGGTTTTTCCAGAACCAGGCTCTCCTACAAGCATCACTGGCTGGTTTGCCTCCAACATGAGGTTCAGGAGAAAGGCGTGTCTCCCATACTATAAAAATATAGAAAAACACTTGCAAATTAAAGTATTCAAATGTAATGAATACCATATTTATGTATTTTCACTACACCAGTAAGAATTTTCAGGACTAACCTTGGGAGTGACATCATTTGTCAACAATGTGTTCTTGGGGAACATCTTACTGTCGATGCTAAAAAAGTGTTCAAACACACTCTCTTTATCAGGAACCACAATTTTGTACCGGCAAGTAAACAGCGCTTCGCGGACCAGCAAGTTGAACTGTGGCCAATGGCTGAAATAAAAACAGTAACTTAACACTGGCTACTGAAATGAATTTTTAATACTTTATGTAAAAAGCGATTACATATTTTACTTGAATGAACATATATATAACTGGAACATTTGTGAACATATACAATATGGCATTTTACCAAGGATGCAGATGTCCACCAAATCCCCAGATATAAGCCATCAGAAAAAGATTTCTGGCAAATAGCTCTTGTTTACTTTGGGCATCTGTGCCTGCTGTGTCAGTTCCATGCAAAGGTATATCTGGTGAGAGAGTAAGTGATACTGTTATAATAAATGTAACATCACTATAGTACTACTACAAGGTTATAAGTTCATGAGTAATGGTTATACCTTGGTTGTGTATTTGTGGTATTCCCTCAGCTTTTCCTACTTCCTTTCCAAAATGCTGAAGGAGGGCACGCAGTATTCGAAGAAATGACAGGATTTCTTGCATCCCATTCATGGGGCTTTTACAATCATCTCCTTTACAATGGACTGCAGAGGTTAAACCCTTCTGTCCAAGCAAACTAAGGGTGCTGGAGAAAAGATCTTCAGCCATTCGATTCCACATTTCGAAGGTCCCGTGATCTAGTCTATGCTCACAATAGAGAGCATCCATTTCACTCTTCCAAACAGCCTTCCACAAATCAGTTCCTGTGAAATGAACAAGGCTACAGCGGGTCACTGCAGAGGGGCTGGCATTGCTTAGGTCTGTGACCTCCATAAGTAGCTTAAGGTGCAAGTGTGATGGCACAAGTGTTTCACCAGTTGACAGGAACAGAAATGGGTCCTCAGGATCGCACAGTGTGATTAAGTAATCTAACCAGCCCGGCTGCCCCACAGGCTCCCCATCCATTACTAGCCATTTTACTATTGTGGTCTGACCACTTTTCTTATTATTGTAGCAGAGTTTAGAACTTGTGCGTTCATATCGTTCTGAATCTCTCAGCACCCTTGTAACAGCTCCATCTTGCCATCCTGTCTTTTCACGGAAGCACCCAAATACCTCTTCATGGGACATGGCATTAGGAAATATGACCACAGTGTGAACAGAGCTCCAGTTTGAAGCAGAAATCTGTGGATCTGCCTGTGGGGCATCTGCATTATTCATATTGCCATTTTCAAATACATATTCCACAGACTTGGCAGCCAGACTACTGAGTGCCCCAGCTAAAGCACAGTAACAGGTTGTCTTTCCACTGCCTGAGGGGCCAATAAGCAGAACTGCCTGAGAAGATTTCAGTGTCTGGTAAAGTGTAAGAGCACCCAAAAGTATTTCAGTGTTAGAGTGAAACCCTCTCCTTTGTAATTCTTCTGTGACTGCATCTTTAAGTTGGTTCTTTTCTTCTTCCTCAATATACTGTTGAGGAAGAGGAAGCTGGCATACTATAGGGAATGCGTCCTTGAAAATCATGTAGAACTGTGAGGCGTTCTTGTGCTCATAAAAAAGAGGTAATAATACAGAAAGAATTGCTTTAACAATGGCTGTCTCCTCCACTATTCCCTGTATAATTGACAAATGAGAACTGTGCAATCTGAAAAGTTTTTCATTTTCTTTTCTATCCTTCTCAGTAACTCTGGCAGACTCATTTGGTGAAGACGCCGAGTCAGGTTGTTCTGCAGCCAAACCTTTAGCCTCAGCAGAAATCTTTTGTTGCCTTACACTTTGCTTTAAGTGAATTTCAGAGGCAGAGATGATCTTTTGCAAGATAATAAGAAGGCAGCTTTGGTCATTAGTGACAAACTCAGGCAGACAGAGGGAATCCTTGGCCAGGTTGATGAGGGACACCAGACGTTGACTTAAAGACATGGCCTCTGAGAAACCAATGGAAGTAAGCATTACTTCCGCAATGATCCTGTAATCCAGATTAGCTAATCCAACAGGCCTTGTTGCAGACCGCAGACTATCTGGAACCTCTGTATAACCCTTTGATGGGATGAAAACACATCCATAGTTGAGATTAGCAGAAATGCTTTTCCCTCCAAGTACCAGATGGCATTCTGGATCATCAATGTTTGTGCAACCTGTGACCCCATCCAAAGTCCTGTCCTTTGTCTTGCCTTTCACCTTTTGATTATTATTTTGTGTTAACTTAGACAAGGCCTGGTGAATGTCTACTAGATGCTGTCCTAGTGATGAAAGGACTCCTTGTGTTAGCAAGTCCACAGAATCAAGCAGAAGCAAAGCTCCAGTCTGCAGAGCACCAAACAGCATCTTTTGAACAACACTGAACCTCATGCTTGGACAACACTGCACAATGACGACCTGTTGCCCCAGTGCTCTTCCTAACTGGACGGCAGTCTTTTTCTTTCCTGACATGCAAGGTCCATTCACAAACCCACATCTGTAGCTTGTAAGAGCAAGGAGAATCCCCAGTATTGCCCGATCTGTGGAAGGAGTATGCACCATCCAATCTTCTGGACCAAAATACTCATACCCATATTGGAGGTGATGGGCCAAAACATCCACATAACAGGTTGGATTATCACTGCCCTTCAGACTCTGATCCTCTGAGATTATATGATACTTCATCAAACGAAGCCACTCAAAAGACGACTCCAACACACATTGAGCCTCCATGAGTTGAGATAGCTGCTGTGCATGATTCATTGTAAGTTGCACTAAAGCACGCAGACACATCATCATGTACTTTGAAACCAGAGATTCACTTCTGGTCCCTGTGACTCCATCCCTTATGAAACAGCCAAGGTTTTTCAGTTTTGCAGAGTTGTATGCCTTTAGGTTGCTTGACTTCACTGGGCTTGATTCTTCAAAAGCTTGTTGAATGACATTGCACCACAATGCCTCCTCAGCCACCAGCAGACACTGGAGAGGATATTCAGACAGCAGATCCAGCACAGCTTGTGCATTTTCACTTCTACAAGCAATGTGGTGCAGGATGTCTCCAACCTCTTTATCATGTACCAGATCTTGACTGAATGGTTCAAGCTGGTTTCGCACAGCAGCACATTGTTTCATAAGATGCACCATAGTCAACTTCAATTGTTTCTCAAGGACACAAAGCCAACCCAAGGCACTGACATTTGGTTCTAAAGGAGACAGAAAGGTAATGTGTTCATTGAAGCTCCCGAAAAAACCCAGTACCTTCATCTGTCTGTGGTCTTCAGATGTAGCCTCAATTCTCTTTACATCTCTTGCATCAGATGGTATTTCACCATCCAGTTCAAGCCGGTGAATACCTTTAAAGCATTTCCGTACAAAGGGTTGTAGTGTGAAAGGTGTTGGATGAAAGGAAAGAAGTTCTATCACTTCCCTGCTGCTCAAGAACCAGAGTCTTGGAAACTGTTCACACAGGGAATCCAGAAGATCCATTACCTGGTTGGAAATAGCTTCCATTGTAGACAGGCCATCAATTAGAATCTGGCAAAGACTATTGCCATGAAATTTGTCATCTGTCTTCTTGGAGTTAACAAAGTTTAACACATGAGGGTCAGTTGATACAGAATTCATAATTTCCTTAAATGTCTCATCAACTGGCTGCAACTTCCCCATCTATAAAACAAACACAAAAAACATTAGTCTGATATGTAAACTTACAGTAAAGCTAAAAATATGCCTGCTTTAAAGCACTGCAAAAGCTCAATGTTTTTGACTTGTGATAACACAAGGACATACCAGATCCACTTTTTGAAGACTCAGGAATGTTTCATTAAACATCTTCATCAGGAAGGCCCATATTTGCTGGTATCTTTCAAATAAATCAAGCAGCTGCTCTATTAATATTGAAAGAAAAAGAAAAACATGCACTGTATTTCTTGTACATGGAGGCAAATATTGAAAAGCTTTTTTTCCTGAATATCTGATTTACCAAGCTCTTGCAATGATTGCACCCATTCTTCCATCTGCAGCCTGACCTCAACACTGTGTGGAGACTTCAACATGGTGGACAGAGTCATCAAATCATTCTCTATCTCAGCTAAATGTATTTCCAAACCTGAGTGAGAAAACCAATGGCAAATACAAGTAACATGTAAGAAGACTATTGCTCTTACACATTCCACCCTAACAATGGAGCCAAAGTATTAATCCAACAAGTATTCTAACAATGACTACAATAATAACTACTACTACTGCTACTAATTTGTATTATTAAAATGGTTTCTTGTTATTTAGTCTCACCGATGATGATGAATCTTGCATCATTACATGTGGGTTGACAGGTAGGTTGCTTCTCAGTGTCTGTTAATCCATGTTGTGACTTACAGTGCTGCCAAACAGGGAGAGTGAATTTATCCAGCTGGAGCAGTCTGTCTTTCCATCCCTGTTGAAGCTTGTGGAAGGTTTGCTCCATGTTATGCTCTGCTTGTGCATTCATGCATATCTGACAGAGTAAAAGAACCAGAAGCAATGGACAACAGGCAATAACAGGAAATAGGGTAGAGCAATCAGGTATGAGGGAGAGGCAGATAAATAAATGGATAAAGATAAACATTATATACATGTGTACATATGTATATTTCAAGCTATCAGACTGGTGCATGTGGCAGGCTCTGTCCACAGTTCATTGCACTATGGTCATGTTAGGTGGGTAACATACACCAAATTAATTAAATATAGCCATTTACATATTAAGATTATTATGTCCATTGATACTAGCAAATACTGCGGCAAAATATTTCACCCCTTTTGGCTTCTGATTTTAGTACCACCCCATGTCCAGTATATGATCTCTCTCCTGCTCTTACCTTTGTAATTAATTTCTGGTGATCTTCAAGTTGTTGAGACATCAGTTCAGCGACAGTCACTTTCTTCTCTGCCGCATGCAGTAGGCCCATGCCTGCCAGTTGGAATATAGTTTGATTATTTCAGATACACTGTGAATCACAAAACATAGGTGTTACAACATGGGCAGTGTCTGACCTTCAAAAATAGCTCTCCGGTGTTTATGTCTGAGCGTGGGACTGTGTAGCTTGGCCATGACTGCAAGCTGACAGCTTAAGCTTTCCAGCATTCCCCCAGTGTCTTGCAGCACTGCATCACTGGTTGGTATGATGCTTGTTAGAGACAGAACTTTCTCTTTCCACTCAGCAATTTTCCCCTGAGCTTGTGACACCACAGCCTGACAGAGGATTTCATAAGATTTGTTGCCTTCACTCTCATGGATAATGGTGATAGCTCAGGGTTTTGAAAACAAAACAAAATATCCATAATTTTAACTCAGTATATTAGTACTTAGCATCCATGTGCAGTGGATTATGAGATAGGTTGCACTCGCTGGTTGTTAACATTGAAATACAACTTTTAAGTTCAAGCAAATATCAAACAAATAGTATAAATTGGTTGTCATAAATAAATAGAAATGATTACCTAAAATATATTTTATCAAACTGTCACAGAGAAAGTTTGCTTTACAGGTTACCTCACTGAAAAACAGCTGTTTCCATTCTTCCATCCACGCTGTGTACTCAGCAACCAGTTCCCACAACTTTCTCTGAGTTTTGACTTTCTGAAAATTTGTTTCCATAATGGTCAAATCCATGGTACGTTCTAATGGGAGGCAACAAAACATAGAGGTCTGTTAAGGTTAGGACTTTAGTAAACATATAGCATGACATGGTTTTCCATCTACATATGCCCAAAGCCAAAAGTGCTTCACGTTCATAAGTAATTTTCTAAAGCCTAAAAATAACTCATGTACACATATTATACAGTCTCACCCTGTAGGTTTTGACTGTTCCTACTAAGCTGTTCCAGTTTTTCACATAGGCTGTGCACATGTGCATATATAGTGTTCAGTTTGGAGACCATCTCTTTAGCATTCTGCGTTGGGTCAAGGAAGGGTCCTGATAGAGCTTTAGAGACCATATTTTTAAGGTCACACATCAAAAACGAGAACATTGTGTCCAATGCATTAGCTGCTGAAGGAAGACGGTGGCAAACGATGCTGTCTGCTTTCTTCAAGAGGGGAATAAAACAATCCCACAAGCCCAGCATCTATATATAGAACACAGACAGAAGCACACTTACTGCAATGCACACAAAAGACAGCTGAAATGTGAACAACTAGCTGTAATGTTCAGAAACGATGCACAGGTTACACTATAATGTGGTTATTAACTGCGGAAATTTCACTTTTATGCCTGCGAACCTTTTCTTCCAAAGCCAACTCCTGCTCAGTCATTTTCCTATAGTTTATACAAATTGTGTTCTGGAGGGAGTGAATGTACTCCAACTGTTTCTGCATATCAGCCAACATTTTCATAGATTCCCTCACCTGCAAAAAGAAGAAACATTAGCATTTTTATCAGTTCTTTCTAGTTTATCATGCCACAGCAACTAATGAGCTAAAAGAAACCTTCCATCCCCAAATAACAGAAGGTCAGAATTATGTATCTTCAAATTTGGTGATTGGTAAACTTCATTTTAAAGATGAAAAATCTACTTAGGTACTGTACTTATTGATGTCCCAGCAAGCTGAGTGACAAGTAACTGGTATATAACCAAACTATAAACTGTCAGTCTGATGGTGTTTAACAACTCATCATCACAAAGGTTCAGCGGATTCAGGACACACTTGTTCTAACAAGGAAGAACCCCGAGGATGAATAAGTTTAAATGAGTTTAAAAGGTTTCAATACCGTAAGAGCGTATTTTGAGAGGTCACATAAATCCTGCGGCTCTGTCTTGAGCTCAGTAGTAGCCTTCTCCAAATCTGTTATGAGGCTCTCTGAGTGCTGCTTTATCTGATCAACTAGCTGCTCTAGCACTTCCTCCTCAATGACCCTCAGCTGTCGCACTGAAGAAACAAAGGTAAAGAACATGAGAGCAATTATTATACAGCCTGGAAAGCAAGGTGCAGATTTCTCAAACCATCTAATGACCATATAGGTAAATTACTACTTTACAAAAGCAGGGCTCATTAGCTAGTCATTTCTTCAAAGAAACAGATTTATTCAGTCGTTCCTGTTTGAGGCAATGATTATTTGACCTAAAAAGTTCTTGAGCAGGAATCATTTGAGTGTTTTGAGTCAAACTGCAGTGCAGACATACCAAGAGCTTCCTTAATGTGTGTGCAGTGGATGATGAACAGTCGGTTGGATGTAGAGACTGATGAAGGAACTGTGTTGACTCTTTCAACCCAGTGGTGCACCTTCTTAATGTGTTCCTCATATAATAAAGCAGGCTGACCCCTCGTGGACTCCAAAGAGGTTATACTCCATTCACTAATGAACAAACTGATGTCTACCAACCATGAGTAGTTCTCACATAGCTGCTGGTTTTCTAGCTCAGCTTCCTGCCCAGAGAACAGTAACAATTACTAGAAACACTGACACAGGCAGGAAAATGATTACATATTAATTACCACTTCATTAACATTGGCTAGTACTGGATTTGAAAATGCTGGTCTTACCTGCATGCTAGCAGCCTGCTCATTGTCAGCTTGTTTTGTAATGTCATTGATGCTGATCTGCCACTCCAGCTGTGTCTTGGAGAGAGGACAGTAGCAGTCATGCACCATGTTGCCCTGCGCCATCAGTGCGGTTTGCTTCGGCAGCACCAGGCAGTTAGCTGACAAGTCTCTGAGCAATTGCCAGCAGCAAAACTTTCTGCTGCCAGTCATTTTATCACTGTTCTTACGCTTCCCTGTGAATTAAAACAGTGAAACTCAAAATAAATCTGTTTTTCAAAGCAACAAATGACAAAAAACATGATCAGACCACCACTGTTGTCTCCAAGCCACTCTGATACAGACAGCAACTTACTGTACATACTGTGTTTATTCCTTCATTACATTTTTCATATTCACACTGTGATTGTTGGTCTGAAACCTGACCTAAGCTTGACAGGGCCACACACATGACAAATTCAGGCCAGGCTCAGACACATTTTTATTTAAACACTGCAGGTTTTAGTCAGCAGGAGCTGAAATCAACCAAAATCAGAACAGTGACATATGAGGGACAGTTAACAAATTCAGTTCAAATGTTCATACCTGTAATCAATGGATGTTTGATACAACTGAGGTCAGAAGTTAAATCCTGAGCAAACTCAGAGCTCAACACATTGTTGTTGATCTCTAGGAAGAATCCACAAGTGTCACACATCTAGCAGAGAAGAAATATTTTATGAAGTTGAAGATAAACTTGTGATCAAGATATTTGAATGAATGTGTATTAAGAAGATTAAATTTTATGTAAGAATGAATCCTAAGTAATTGTTGGATTTGTCTTACTTAAAATTATAGTCTTATTAATACTTTAGAATAAACAATATGATTTTTACCATTACAAACTGTCACAAATATGATGTACATTTCTAGTAACCTTAAAATTAACCAATGACCATGGCTAAAGAATAGTAGATAATATGGGCGCAGCTGTAATTTCAGGTGTGGAAATTTGTAAATTACCTGGATTAAGGAGTCACCAACAGTCTGGAGTGCTTCACTCACTGTCTCTTGGAACAAATGTATAGGTGGGTCCACAGACAGCTGAGAGTTGGCGCCGAAACACAGCTCAGTATCGAAGAGACAGCACTGTTGAGATTTCTTCCTCTAACACAAATACACAATCAGCATTAATTTATTTAAAAATGAATTACATTCTCTGTGAGTCAACTATCTGATGCTTCCTCTAATATGTTATGTAGCAGCAGTGCAGTATAGCAACTTAAGCTTTGTATCCATATCTCTCCTGGTAATAGCTTGACAGCACATTGCAACAGTTCTCTATCTGAAAATACTATGTCTTACACACAAAAATAAAAGAATTATTATGTTTTTGATCATTTTATAAGCAAGGGGTGTGTTTTTGTAGCAGAACACTGCTACATAAATGAAGTTAATAAATGCTTTTTTGTCACCTTCAAAACATTGTTGAGAAAAGAAATGACATCTTGTTTGATGAACGTGATGAGACTCTGCACAATCATTTGATCGACGAGATAAGCAAAGTTGCCTAATTTCTGCAAGGTGCTTTCAGACCTCGCCAACTCTCTCTTCAGCTCCTGCTGGTGAAGCACATGGAGGTGAATGGATTCATAGCAATTATTCGGCTTTTTTGCATATTCCAAGTGCAACTGCAGCTCCTGGTGTGCCTTGTAACTGATTTCTTTCACCTGGGGACAAAACAGCACTACTAGAGATGATTCCAGAAAAGGACAGGCTTCATTCTTTTATGAAGCTATAAAGGTTCCTTATAATGTTCTGAAACTTTACTTATGAAAAGCTAATAGCAACTGCATTGCAACCATTAGTGCTATTCTTTATGCTCTTCACAGATTTTGAGTTCCTTAATGTTTTTAATCATGTCAGAAAAAAAAACAATGAAGTACCACATTTAGGATGACCGTGCGAAGCTGTGATAATTTCCGAAGGATCTGCAGACACTCTTGATTCTTGGTTATCAGTGCATTCTTGAATTCCAGCAACGTGTAGATTTTAGACTCCTCCTGGGGCAGTTGGTGCGTCTCCTTCACATCTTCAATTAGTCTGTAAATGATTTAAAAGTTAAAAGTAATTATCTGAACATCTAATGTTAAAAAGAAACATCAATCCTAAACTTTATATTAAAGTTTAAAGGTCAGATCCAATAGTTCCAATATCCAATTCAGAACCACAGGTTACAAGTCCGATGGTTCCATAAGCATTACACCAAAAATTGCCCCTCAAAGAATATTACACTAGGGGAGTATAATTAGCATGCTGAGAGCCCATGTTTAAGTATCATTAGTGCTGTAACTGTGATTTAAGACTTACATTTGCTCTAACTCACCTGGTGAGCCGATGAAGAGCACATCTGAACTGAGGTACAACTGTTAGCAGCATATCTTGCAGAACCCCACATCTGCGCTGAAAAACGATCTTGCGCACATTTCTTTTCCACCTGGCACAAAAAAGAACAGGCAAAATTTGAAGATTAAAAAAAAAATCAAACACAACTTACAAGTTCTGGGAAAGACAAAGTACAGCTTATATGTACTTACCAATCGAAAGCTTTTCGCAGTCTGAAGTCCCTGAAAAATGAGATTTCCTGCAAAGCTGCCCACAGCACAGACTCTCTGTACCACTCAGCCAGACTAACAAGTCCACCATAGCCCCTCTCTGTGACATGTAGTACATAATTAGGGGAGAAGACGTAGTGTTCAGGACCAGCCTTACTGGAATGGACTACTTGTAGCTCATAAGGCCTAAACAGGAGGATAGATATATCAATGAATCCATGAATTCATAGCTTAGTTGTTTGCATTCCAGCTGAATGAAATTACTACATCCACAACCGCCTGAAATGCCAGGGTGGGAAATAGCCTTGTTCTGTTGTACCTGTAAGAGTCCCGATCCACTTCTTTCAGGTAATAAAACTGCTGCTCTGTCGGGTCTCTTTTCTGGGCAAATATTTGAATGACCTCTGTTACAGTGAGTGGAAACTTAGTTGGACAGCTCACTTTCCCATCTTTTGCAGTCCTTATCTTTTTACCCTTGTATGTTGTGACTTTTATGGATTCATCTTTCTTTGTAAGACTGAAATGATAAAAACTGTATGTAAGCAACAAAGAAATTCATTCGGGACTCCAGTAGCTTGTGGAGTAAATGTTGACAGCTACATTTGTCAGCTCTTTATGTCGCTTTGACAACTGGAAGAACACACTGTATGACAGAGTTCCTATAATATACAGGGACATATTTTTCTGGAAAACATTTCAAACAGACATCTTATGTCCTAGGCCTATTACATACCACCATTACCATCAACAGTGTGGCAACAATATAACATTTATATCATAAATTACCACAACCAGAATTATCCCATGTACCTTTGTGCTGTCATCTCCTCAACAGTTCTGATAGGGATGTCGGTTCCTAATGCTGAGGCCATTAATCGAGGTCCTTCCGTCCATTTTGTCTCATCTATGTCTATCTTGGGTCCTACTTGGGACATAAGACGAGGAAGTTCCACCACTGATAAAGGTCTGTCAGAGGGTACACTTTGGAGGATAGGTGAATGACTGAACAGATGCCTTGCTGAAAAGGCTGGTGACTTGGGGCACAGAGGCGGCAAAGTCACTTCAGGAGGGTGGGTCTTTTTCTTAGCCTTGGATTCTGGCCTTGTATTGTCTTTGTCACAAATCTGACAAGTTCCATCATGAGCTCCTTCCACTGGAGTGGCAGTGAACATGGTGCTGATCACTCTGTGAATACCACCAGAAGGTTTACATACCACAAACTTTATCTTGCCAGGGTTTTACTCTGAGATTTCTGCAAGGAATAAACAAATAGGTAAACTTGTATCACCTAGATATCTCCATCCTGCATTGTTAACTAGCTATACAGTAAAAACAAAATAAATTTTTTGGACCAAGTTAAAAATGTAGCCTACTTGAATTAGCACAGTCTTGTATTTGCGTTGTGTTCCCTGTAAGGTGCAAACACAATTTTAGAATCTTGGAATATTTTCTTCTGTACAATAATGTCATCATTTAATGATACAAGCTAGTTTTCTCCATTATTTGCTGTCTGCATTTCCATTAGCCCATATTACTATCTTTGGGCCATATGCTGTATCTAACTATAAACATCAATCACAATCTTATCAAAGGTAATAGAAAAACACAAATTAAGGTTGTTTGACTAAATTAAATTAGGACTAACACGCTGTTTGAAATTAATTCAATAACATGTTATGGATTCACATTATTTTCCATTAAAATAATGTTTACTAGTAAATCCTTACATAATCAAGCACTGTTTGCTAGCTAGCTGAGCTGGCCTTATACTGGAAGACTGATAAGACTCAAAAAAGACTTTTGAAAGACTAAAGTCTGACCCCCGCTCAACAACTAAAGACAGTTTTAAGTCATAGACTATGATTTTGAAAAGACTGGGGGTCTTGCGGGGTCACTTTTTGCAAGAATACAACTACACTTCTCTTTGAGACTACTCCTCATATGTTCCTGCTTTTGGCTACAGCTGCACTTGTGTGCGCAGTGTTTTCCGCTTTGGTGATGGACGGAGCTCAGCTATTGGTTGTTTCACGTCACTGTCTGCACGAGCCAATACTAAGGACTAGAGATAAAATTAAACACGTTGTAGCAAGACTCCCATGACTTTATTCCGATCTTGGAAATTTGTCTGCGACTAGAAATCGCTTGAAAAGTCCTTAAGTGTAAGGCAGGCATTAGCTATTTTAGTTAAGTTAGCAACAGCTAACCTTAAACTCACTAAGTAGCTAAAGCAAAGAGGTCACGCCTGTTTGCAATACATCTGAAAAACACCTATCAACAGAATTACAAAACAGAAAGTGAAGTTAAAGCACTTTAAAACAACTAACTAGCTAATTGCGTGAGAAACAAAACTTGAGTGACTTTCTTACCTGACTGTGGAGATGTTGTCGGCGCAACCCCGGCGACGGCTCGTTGCCATGGTAACACACAATCACTTCAGTGGGGGTGTTGAACGGGTCAGTGTGTGCTGATGAATTTCAGGTATACCGAGTTTAACCTTTCAGTTCTGATCTAATACAGCTTGCCCGGATTACAGCAAGAAAACACTCAATTCTACTGTACCAAAGCCTTAGAACACCCCCATTATTCTAGTTTTTATTTTGACATTTAAACTCTTCATGTCCACCTTAAATAGTACAAATCGAAGACATAACTTGCATGAAGTACACTCTAACAAAAAAGCTCACCAAAACTAAAAAATATATGTACATTTCAAGTTCATTTGGCCTTTTTCAGGGATCTCTAATGCGTTAACTTAGGCTACATCTTTCAAGCCTTGAAAATTGATGAAAACGGTTCCTACAGGTGTAGAAACTTACAACAACAAACTCTATCTGAACAAAGTCAGTGTTACTACACTCTCTGAAACAGTATTTGGAAAAAGGCAATTAACAAAGGACATCAGACTTTTTCAGGGTTTCATCCTGCAGGCTTCAAATGATGGAATAACCGACACAGTGTCCAGACTTTCCAGACGAATAATGAAAGCAAATAAAGCAACCTATGTATAAGTGCAATATATTTCTGGGAACCTCTGCAACAGTGCTATCTATCTGAACAATATTTTTCAAATGTGGAAAGAATGCTAGTGTTTGTTTGGCTGTTGACTTACACTAATAACAACTTGTGGTAAAATGGAGGTAACCCCAAACTGTTTATTCCGCCTACAAAAACTTCCTCCTGCTGCCTGTGTACCATTGTGCAGTTGTAACAGTCATCTTAATTCCAGGCCTTAAAAAAATATGCCAGGTGCATGAAGTTTAATGGGGTGGGTCATTGGTCTGAAGGAACAACTGCCCAACCACTTTTTTTTCACATCCTACCAAATGCATCAGTGTATTTATAAAGACCAGAAAAACATAAAAACTAGTAGAACCCAACACTTTCTCTCCTCCTTTCCTCATCTAAAGCAGCATTCCTGTGTAATTACTATAGACTATACACTCAGTTGGCAGTTTATTAGCTAGACTGATTTAGCTAAAAGTCAGTCTAATACAACAGTCCTGTATTACCTTCTCCTTCATGAAGGTGAGAATGCTCAGTTTTTGATGAAAATGTTTTAGCTTTGATTCAGCTTTATGATCATTTTGTACTCTGTCCAGCTGTTAAATTGCAGCTTTGTTTAGCCTAAACTTTTTTCATACCTGACATTTTGACTTATTATACCAAAAGGTCAGGTGTAATTTAAAACGTGAATCACTGCAGAATCACGTTTAGGACCCTTCAATAGCCATCACTAATGTGCTTTGCTACTCAAAATGTCTGCTGATAAAAAGGCCCTAAACCCAGCTGGCATTTTGACATAAGAGGAAAAAGCATAGGTGAAGATACACATCAACAATGGTTCAGTTCCATTAGGTGTCCCAGTGAGCCACTATACAGTACCAAGACCTCTCCTAAGTGGAATGCATCGATAATGTTATACACCTGTGGTTTTCCTGCTATGTCAGATATGACCAATAGACGTAATCATTTTAATCTGACTTTTTAGACAAAATGTACACAGTAAAAAACCTACTCATCAGGAAGTCCAGTATCACCATATCCATGAAGTCCACCAGCCTGGTGCCTTTGTTGTATGGCGGAGTCTTTTTCACTTTCGAACAATAGTCTGGTTCTGTCTCCCACCTAAAACAGACACATCTTCAGCCTTTAATATAATTACCTCAAACAACTAAGGAGTCTTTTTATAATTATGTTTTCACATAAAGGAATGAGGTTTTTAGTCCTGGGGCTGTGCTTAGATATAGCATATTTTAGTCATCAAAGCAGACTGGTTCCTCTATGGCCTTGCACCTACTAACTTTGCCAGCTTGCTGCGGCTGTAGGAGCGTCTCCAGGGGGATCTCCAGGCCCTCCGTGCCGCAAGGGAGATATCTGGCAGCATTACCGCTAAGGAAGCCTCCAGGTTCCTGGGGCGGCCACACACAGCATGCTCTGTGGAACAGTAGTAGGAGCACTGGCCATAAAAACACACATTTCCCACTAGGGGGAGCCAGAGGAGCATAGAGAGGAGAGGAGAAAAAAATAACAAAGGATAAGTTTACATTAAAGGGGCTGTAGCCTCAATACATCCATGGGCTGTGGCTGGTTTTAATTAGTGAGAATTAGAGGAGAAGAAAATCATTCAAAGAGATTCATATCAGTTGTCATACGAGGGAAAATGTATAATGGAGGAGTGTGTGAGCGTTACCAGGGGAGGTAAAAAAGGTTCGAGCCAGCTTGTGGTCGGTAGTGACCTCTTTGACTTCCTTGACCACATCTACCAGCCTCCCGACCACGGGAGGGACTCTCCTATAGCCCAAAATCCTACAGAAACAGTGTGGAAAAAAAGACATACAGGCATAATCAGGCTGGGGGAGGCATTCAGAAATTGAAGACCAGAGGGAAGGGATTGGAAAAAAGAAAATAAAATAGAGTTACATAATGTTAAATATGTTTACTATGTGGCCATTTCATCCACAGTTTCACTCACTGTGCTAACTGTAGAAGTGTTACGCTGCAGGTTCTTTGAATAAAAATGGACTTGGTACCTGTCCAGGTGAAAAGCTGCGATTTCTGCATTGTGTCTCTCAAAGTCTGAGAAGTAGTAGAGGTTGTAGTTGGTTTCATCATTTCTATCCTGCCTGCCAGGCAAGATAACATATTTATTAATGATACATTTTGACCAGTAAAGTCTCTTTTACTACCTTGGTTCCATTAAACATCCACATATGGCTGTAGATGTTTCCATTTACCAAAAAATGTGACTAAACCTCTCGCAGACAATTCCTTCCTAATGCTCGAACAACACATTTCTCAGTTGTCTGAAAGCTTAAAATCCCTCCCATTGATTCATCTTCAATTCCCATCACAGTTTATTGGATTCATTTCAAGAGGGTTTAAAGGATTCTGTGCTTTTTTCTTTTCAGACACACTCTGTAACACGATCTCAGTGTGACTCACTTCATGGGTTTGACCATCGCTTTTCCATAGTTGGGAAATGACATCACCAGCTTCAGTTGCGTCCCCCCAGACTTCTGCACTGAAAAACCGTATGGAGAATGTTACCATAGCAACAAAGCACACTGTTTGCACACACATACGATACGCTGTGAGCAAATGCACTGGCCATTAATGGGGAGCACACATAAATAACATATGTGCATCACCACCAGGATATAATACAGCACAGTCAGTTTGTGGATACCTACTACTGTATTCAACTCGCACTGGTTTACACACTGTAGCTATATTTGGAAGGACACTTAATTACTTTGCATTCACACACTATATATTACCAGAAGTATTAATAAGTTAGAAGAATTTATCCTTAATGGTAGATTCTGTATATTAGCTCTATATGTGTATATCTTGATTACCACAGATTTCAGTACATTTGTATTTGTTACCTGTACGTCTTATGTGAATGCCATTGTATTGTACTGTGGTGACATTGTTGTGGAAGGTAAGTGTGGAAATAATGATTTGTAAATCATCTGTGCCCTGTATTACATTGAAAACAATACAGTAGTACATCATTTGAGGTGATACCTCATCAATTTGATCATTTTTTCAGTTTTAATTTTGATTTTACATACTGTCTCAACTTTTTCTGATTTGGGGTCGTACATGTCCAGTGGCTCATGTGTTCGTCCATCCTCTACTAAGACTCCAAGGCTTCTGAAAACATCACAGTAGCTTTCATTTCAGGAGAACCTCAAAGTGAATCTACAGGGAAAAGTCTAACCTTGAACCTCAGGTGTCACACAGTCACAACAACCCTCCCTCCCCTTTATTTTGCCGTTACCCACCCTGAAGCCCACCCAAGTTGCAGTAATAACTGCTATGCTGGTTGCAGTCCAAGAGAATTTGGTAATAGGCACATTTATTCAAGAGATGAATTGAGTCACACTAAAGTGACTCAGATCCCTCCGTTTACTCAAAAAACCATCTTATCGTTGCTCGTCTGACGCCTCAGCCGTCATATGTGATCAGTGTGTTGTTGGTGTATCAGTGTCAGGCTCTGTGCTCTGCTCCTACCAGACTGTGGTGTGGTGCAGTAAAACAGGTGGACAAAATACAAATACAAAAACACAACTCAGAAGCTACATGTGTCACACCTGCACTGACGACACGGTGTGTGGCAAGTTGCTGGGTCAGAGCCTCCATGTTGGGGTCATGATGAGGGTAGAGCTGCCAGCGGGAAATGCCCAGGTGGAAGCGAAGCCAGGGAGGGTGGCTGTTGCTGTTGCTGCTCCGCTGGACGTTCTCATAGTGTTCCTCGCTGGCG